ATGAGGAGCGCAAGAAGGCAGCTACAGCAAAGAAAAATTTGGACAATTATATGGATGAGATAGTGGAAACCTTGAGAGGCTATGGAAATAGGATGGGGATAAAGAACAAGAGGAAGCTAGACGTGCTCTTGAGAATACAAACCAGTGGTTAGACTGGAACTACATGCTTACTGAAGCCAGCAAGTTTGAGGAAAAGATGAAGGAACTTGAGAGCATTTGCGAGCCTATCATTGCAATGATGCACCAAGAGGAGTCCGATGATTCTGATGTGTTTATGAGTTGCCCTTCTCCAAAGAAAAGAAAATCAGCCACCACCAAGGGAGGAAGTTCGAAAAGAAGAAAGGTCTCCTCGAGTCCACAATGGAATTACTCGCTGGGTTTTCACATCAATTACGATTGGTGTGTTTCACGTAAGTTCTGAGAATTTTTGGATTTAATTGAATTTCAACATTGGGTTTACTTGTTCCATAAATGCGCAATTTCTCTTGCTTACCAAAACCTTTTGTTTGAATTCAAGGAAACATTTAAACATGAGAATGGAGTGTGTTCGGCCATTGTAAAAGGAACAAAAATTAATTTTGATGCACGATATTTGGCTGATTTGTTCCAAGTTCCCAATTCCGGTCAGAGTTCCTATCTTAAACATAAACAAACTATTCAAATAGGAACCGCCAATGAGTCGAAAATTGTGAAGTTTATAGGAGGAAATCCGAGGGTAGTCACCTCCAATCACAGTGTTTTATCTCCTCTTCACCTTCACTTGGAAGGGAATTCTTCCAAGACTACAAAAACGTAGCACTGTTTCCCTTCTGGATGCTACAATCATCTATTGCCTAGCCAAGAAAATCCAAATCAACTTTCCTAAATTAATGATTGAGCATCTAATGTACTATGCTGACAAAACTACTATTCCCTATGGCCCTATTCTCACTGTCTTGTTTCAATCCTTTGGAATAAGCGTAGAGTCCGAAACTCCTACCTACCTAAAACCGAAAAAAATTCTTTCTGAACGATCTTTGCTTAGGCTAGGTATGGAAATAGAGGGAGGGAAAATTCAATTCATCCCGCGTAGAAAAGATAGGAAACAGAAAACCAAATATGAAGGGAAAGAAAAGAAGGGGAAGGGCAAAGTTGAAAAGTGTGATGCCACTGACCGTGAGGGGGAGGGAGATAGTAGTGAGGGAGAAAGCAGTAAGAGAAAAAGTGAGAATGTACAATCTGAAGGGGAAAGCAGCAAGAATACCGAGAGTGAAAAGGAGAGAATTTTATTCCTGTTTTTAGGAAGGGACCTAGAAGGAGTGCCCGAACTTTTGTCAAAACCAAATTCCTTGCCCCTTCCTCTCCTACTGAGCCTGTCAATGTAGAGGATACTGGTTCCTCTGATCACACTGCCCCAGGTTTTCCTGCTGCCCATGTTCCTTTTGAATCGGAACCACCTCCTAAACAACCTTCTCCAACCCAACCTCCTTCTCCATCACAGCCTTTTGGCTTTGCCGCCTTTACTGGAACAAGTGCTCCTGTTTTTGAAATTCTACAGGTGAAGGCAGATCTTGCCAAATTATCATCCACAGTGATGGCAAGATTGGATGATATGGCTCGGATGATAGAAGCTGTTGGAGGGCAACTTCAGACTCAAGTGAAGGAAATGGCGGAAGCCCAGGCCAGCCGAAATGCAGCAACTGAGGCTCGAATTGTTGAAAGTCACAAGGACATCCTTGAGACAATTCACAAAGTTGCTTTTGAGGATGTTGAAGAGTAGGATTCCCTAGCACACCCTGCCTCTTAGCCCTACCGAATTGATTGCTCATTAAAACTTTGAACTATTTTTTTTTGTATATCTAAAGTCTAGTTTATTCCTTTAAGTCTTCAGTCGGTTAATAAATTTAAGTTCTTGTGCTTGTTTTTAATTCTATATTTTTAAGGTTTCTTTTCCATGCTTGGACGATATTTATTTGTCTAAGTTTGTTAGTGTTCGTCGTCATCAAAAGGGGGAATATTGTTGACCCTTTTGGTTTTGATGAACAAATTGAGAAACTTGACTAATGTATGTTTTAAGTCTTTGGTGAATGAAAGATTCAATCAACAAAGTTCGTTCCGGAGTAGGAACACAAATTAAGGACTGTGGAGTAGCATTCATGAAAGCACCTCGTACAATTTCACATTTTTGACTAATTGTAAGCACTTGAAAAATAAGTTGGTCTGGAACTCAGTGAGACACACTATTATTAAGTATAAAATAATCAACTATATATTGGAATATATTTACTTGAGTATAAAAATTGTTTTTGAAGAATTATGATAAACCTGTTTTTTTAATAAGGTTGTTTAATTGTGAAAAAGATATTTTATAAATAATTTACATGATTTGTTTTATCATCTTTAGTCTACCGTTTTTAATAAATAAAATTATATAATTTAATTATTATCTTTTTTTAGTATAATTATCTTCTTTATCTTAGTTATTAAATAAAGTATTTTATAAAATAACTTTTGAACAAAACATATCTTCATTGATTTAGTCGAACCGTTTTATCATACTCCTATAATTGGTTTTCTTCAAAGCATAAATTTAGGATGTTGCTGAGATGTTAGTGGACTGTTGAGCAAGTTTAGGAAACCTCCCTTAATCACCACTTGTCAGTTAGACTCCATAATATGGTAACATGTATTAGTGGGTGTCATGGCATGTGTACATGTTGATAGTGGGAAGTTAATGACTAAGCTTGCTCTCTATAAAAACCCACGCAATTGATCTCAGCAAAATAGAATTCTTGAGCAAAATATTCCATTGAGTAATTAGCTAATAGCATGAAGGGAGTTCCAAATTACTTCTTTTATTCTCTAGTACATTAGGTCTTGTATTACTTATTGTAATTGGGATCTTGGGGTATTGTGAGAGTTGTAACTTGTGAGGTAAAGGAAGTTTCAGAGTCGAAACTTATGTGAGGGTTGGGAACAAGTTCCGTTCTTATGGAACTTTGTCCGGGTTTATTATTCACTTGTAAAAGAGTTTGATTTACATAGTGGAAATAAATTCTGAAAAGTCCATATCATTTCTCTCTTTTATTTTAGATTGTTTAAATTCCGCAAAAAGTTCATTACTTCACTCATACTACAATTCACCCCCCTCTTGTAGTAGCTATCTAGAACTTCAAAGATGATAGATCTTGATTGAGCTAGCTTACTGTAAGTGTACATATGCTATTACTATTAGGTTTTGAATAATTGTTATTAGATTTGTGTATTTGATTGCTTGATAATATCAAGTTACAAAGCTGTATTTATAGCTAAACAATGAACGTAACTAATACCACTAAATAAGCTAACAATCTAATGAGATAAGCTAGAAGGATAAGTATCTTTATTATTAGGAAGCTAGTTAAGATAAGCTTTGACTAACTAAGAGAAGACTAAGTACAAACAGAAAGCTCGTAGGCTAGAGTATTACTAAAGATAAGAATAGAATAACTGAAGTTATCCTCTTACAATTACAAGATTGAATTTACTCCAACAAAATAGATGTAACGAACTTTTCATTTTGTCGCGTGTATGCTTTGATGTGGAGTTTGCTGTTTGTTATCATAGTATAAATAGGAACATCTTTTGATTGTAATGATTTTGTTTGGTTGCAAAAAGGCTGAATTGAACTTTAATCTTAATCATGCTGAATTTCTGATGTTGATCTGTATACTCTCTCTATTAGTTGCTATTTTAACATGAAACTTGAAAATCAATACTCGTTAGTGTTTAAAAAGGATGATAGAATTATTTTAATTAACACTTGTTAGTATTTTATTCAATTAAAGAAAACATGGAATCAATATTGTTTGAAAATACCACTTGTATAACTTTAACATTACAAGAATTTTTCAAAGTTTTAAGTTTTAAATTTTTTAGTTTTTTCAACAAAAAAAAAAAAGAAAAAAAAACAGTAAGAAAAAATTAGAAAAATTTATACCCAGATGAAAAATCTTTTGGGAAAATCTTACAAGTCATGATTCTTCTTCTTCAAAAATAAAAACGTTACAAGTCATTGAAAAATTAGTGTGCCATTGTTTTATCAACTTACCAAGAATTACTTATACTTCAATTATTTTACTCTGTTTTCAAAATGAAAATCGTGCAATAGATGGATGCCATTGAAAAAACAGTGCAATGGATGGATAGGAATTTCCTTCTTACCGAAATTTGTAAGTTCAAGAACAAGCTGAAAGAGCTCAAGAGTGTTTGCGAACCCATAATCAAGAAGATGGACAAACAGTGTGATGCTGAGGCAGGCATCACTAATGTGGGAAATGATGTCGTCGAAGTTGATTAAGCTTGAATCCAGATAACGACTTTATTAAATAGGCTTGAAGTAGAAGCTCTTATGACAGCCATCTATCTCCAGTATGCTGCTGTTAAACTGGTTTCTAATCTTTAGTTTATTTTTAAGATGTTTTGGCCTTTGTTCGTGCTTTTTTCCTGCTGTGTTACTCTTTGGAACAACATTATGCTGCCAGGGGCTGGGGATTGTAATATTTTCCTAAAACAAACCCTGAATTTACGGCCTTAATTGCACAATTATTCTGCAAGTATGTACCAAGATTGATCTTGTTGATCATAAATAGTAATATAGGTAAATTCAGTGAGCTAGATGTCTACTGTAGCCCTGTAAAAAATGACTAATACTGATGACTTCAGTGTTCTGCAGGAACTTAGTCTGTTTTTATTTCCGTATTATACTCCGTATTTGGCATTATCTTGAGTTATGTTGCAACCATATCATCAGATTCAAACATGCATCATCCCAGTAATTAGCAAACAGCACATTACAGGTTACAGGACAAAAAATTAAAAAAGAGAGCATGAAAAACAAAATTTAGCAAATCCAGGCATCCGATCAAAACACTAAAAATGAGCATTAGAATAACGTACAAAAACTATTTACCTACTAGAAAAGTCTGGAACTAAATTCAATCAAGCTCCAAAAAACTGAATCTAGGCAATGTTACTGCCTTTCACAACATCTTTTCCAAGATAGGCTCACAAATTCTCTCAAGCTCATTCAATTTTTCCTCAAACTTACAGGCCTCCGGAAGCAGGTAATTCAAATTTAGCCATTGGGTAGTCTTCTCAATTGCATCACCAAGCTGCTTCTTGTTCTTTATCCCAATCTTCCTTCCACAGCTTTTCAAGGTGCTCGTCATCTTGTCAACATAAACTTCTAAGTTGTTCTTGGCAATGGCTGCTTCCTTGCGCTTCTCATCCTGAGCTTTGAGTTTTATGGCCTCTTCCACCATCCTATCAATCTCCTCCTTCGATAACCTTATACTGTGATTGGTAATGGTTAATTGATTTTTGTTTCCATTGCTTTTATCTTCTGCTGTCACAGTCAAGATTCCATTCTCATCTATGCTCAAGGATTCCATTATACTTGGAACATTCGCCGGTGCTGGAAGGATGCCATCAAGTACAAAGCTGCCCAAGAAGTTGTTATCCTTTGCAATGGGTCTCTCACCCTCGTAAAAACCTATATATACTCTCGACTGATTGTCTTTCTCAGTGGTAACCTTTTCTCCATCTTTGCAGGTATTGGTGTGTTTCGAGGAATCACAACTTCCAACTCACCAATACTTAGCTGAACACCAAGGGATAAGGGAGTAACATCCACAAGCACAGTGTTCTTACTGCTGCTATTAGCACCGTACCGGACATGACAGCAGCAAAAAAAGCAGCACCATAGGCAACAGCAGCAAAATACACGCGACAAAATGAAAGATTCATTACATATCTATTTTCTTGGAGTAAATTAAACCTTAGCTTGTAATAACTTATGTAAACTGACAGAGAGCTAGTTCAATCAAGATCTATAATCTCAATCTTTGGAGAAGCACAACTCATAACCACGTCAGAATCGGACTCCTCTTGGTGCATCATTGCAATGATAGGCTCGCAAATGCTCTCGAGTTCCTTCATCTTTTCCTCAAACTTGCTAGCTTCAGGAAGCATGTAGTTCCAGTCTAACCATTGGGTTATATTCTCTATAGCATCGTAAAGCTTCCTCTTGCTCTTTCTCCCGAGCCTCTTCTTGTAGCTTCTCAAGGTGTCTACCATCTCGTCAATATAATTGTCCAAGTTGTTCTTTGCTATAGCTGCCTTCTTGCGCTCCTCATCCCGAGCTTTGAACTTTTTCGCTTCTTCCACCTTCCTATCAATCTCTTCCTTAGACAATCTCCCACTGTGTTCAGTAATGGTTAGCTGATTTTTGTTCCCAGTGCTTTTATCCTCTGCTGTCACCGTCAAGATGCCATTCTCATCAATGTTTATGCATTGAACTATCTTAGGAATATGTGCTCGTGCTGGAGGAATGCCATGGAGAACAAAGCTACCCAAGAGGTTATTATCCTCAGCACAAGGGCTCTCTCCCTCATACACCCGAATTAGTACACTAGTTTGGTTGTCAACACAAGTGGTATATATCTTCGTCTTCTTTGAAGGGATTGGTGTGTTTCGAGGAATCACAACACTCATCGTACCACTGTTAATTTTAAAACCAAAGGATAAGGGAGTAACATCCACAAGCACAGCGTTCTTACTGCTACTGTCTACGCCAGCCAAGATGGCAGCATGAAAAGCAGCACCATACGCAACAGCCTCATCCGGGTTAATCCCTTTGCAAAGCTCCTTCCCATTGAAAAAACCCTGCAACAATTTCTGAACTTTGGGGATACGAGTAGACCCACCAACAAGGACAACATCATCAATATCACTCCTCTCCAATTTTGCATCCTTCAGACATTTTTCAACAGGGTCCAAACAATTCATGAACAGATCCTTGTTTAGTTTTTCAAACCGTGCACGACTGATGGTTGATGAGAAATCAAAACCCTCGAAGAGGCCATCAATCTCAATAGTAGTCTCTACAGTTGAAGAGAGGGCTCTCTTCGCCCTTTCACAAGCAGCTCTCAACCTTCCAAGTGCCCAAGGATTTGCACTTATATCCTTGTCGTGCTTCATTTTAAACTCGTTTACAAAGTGGTCCATCATTCTATTATCAAAATCTACTCCACCAAGGTGAGAGTCACCAGACACTGCTCTGACTTCAAAGGCATCCTTCTTTACCGCGACTATAGACACATCAAAAGTTCCACCACCAAGATCAAAAACCAAAATATTCCTTGAAGCAGCATCAGTACTGCAATTAAGCTTCTTTTTTAGACCATAAGCAATGGCAGCAGCTGTTGGTTCGTTAAGAATGCACATGACGTTGAGTCCAGCTATGATTCCCGCATCTTTTGTTGCCTGACGTTGAGCATTGTTGAAGTAGGCAGGAACGGTGATCACAGCATTCTTCACTTCTGAATCAAGATATGCTTCTGCAATGTCTTTCATCTTCGCAAGGATCATAGAAGATATCTCCTCAGCTGCAAATAGCCTCTCTTCATCCTCAAAGGTTACCGAAATCATAGGCTTTTTGTCATTGGCACCGTCAGGAGCAGCAACAACTATGAATGGCCAGAGCTTCATGTCTTTTTGTACATTTTCATCTTTGAACCTCCTACCTATAAGCCTTTTTGCATCTGCCATTAATACGGAAACTGATTACCAGTCAAGAACCTAAAGCATAATTACAGATATAAACCAGAAACATTTAAATCTCCTATAACATAACAGAAACACAAACATAGTCTCCCTCATGATGTTGCCCATGTTGATAACCGAAACAAAAAAGGCAGATACAGGTTATAGAAGAGTATATCATTGTCATAAACCTTAATTTCCCAATAAATCTACTCCCTCTGTCTCTCAAAGTTCTTCCGATCCTTTTTTGACTTTTTTGTATCACAAAAAATTCTAAACAAGACATGGGTTTTACTAGATAGAGGGAGTAACATAAATTTAGTACCCCATAATTAGAAATCAAATGGGAATGAGAACAAATCTTAAAGCAGTCAAGATAATCAAAAGATTAGTTTAGTCCAAAATCAATAACAAAATGATTGGAATTGACAAATTAAGCCCATAAATAAAACAGAAATTATGTAAATGAGCAACATTCTGTAAGGGATGTACCACTGATCATCGAATTATAACTAATAATCCAGGGGGGAAAAAATGGTTCCAACAGGCAACAGCTGTTCTTTTATGCTTTACAAAATTAATTTCGTGATTGATTTTCTATGAAACTTCAAGAATCTTATTTGTTCATTTACCCAGTGATTATTGAAATTAGGTCACACCCAAGAACAGAATGTAACAAAATTAACATGCAATAGAAAAATACAGAGTGATTACATGCAATTCAAAATATAATATCCTTTTTATTTTTAACAAAGCACACATTGCATAATAAAATGCCATATAAACAAACAAAATTTTTCTTCATTATTATATATATTGTGTTTTTCAATGCATAATTTTAACCAAAAGCATAAAGCAATCAATTGATTAATTACTTCGTGATATATTATTTTACCAAAAAAAAAAAAAATCACAATAATACAAGGAGAAAAGAAAAGGAAAAAAAATAAAAATAAAGAACGAACCACAGATGGTATTAGCTGGATTCATAGCCGCCTGATTCTTAGCACCCTCACCAATAAGACGGTCGTTTTGATTGAAAGACACCCAAGACGGCGTCGTACGGTTGCCCAAGTCATTGGTGATGATCTCAACACGGTCGTGCTGAGGTTGCCATACTCCTACACACGAGTATGTCGTCCCAAGATCAATTCCAATCGCCGGCCATAATTCTTTACTCTTTTCCTCTGTTTGAAGATCCATTTTTTAAAAATTAGAGAGGTTTCTTTTGGTTTAAATAGCTTATATTACTTGCATATAATTTATATAGTACTCTACTTTGCATTGGTTTAAAACTATTTCTATTTTCTAGAACATGAAGATAAATAATAAAGATGTACCGGGTTATTATCTCTATCTTCACCAAATACTATTATCATTATAAAATCTTTATATTCTGTATTTCGCTAAAAAAGATTATTTTAGAAATAGATTAAGATAATAATTTTTGCTTTTAACAAAAAAGTTTAAGATAATCTTGTTTGGAAATACCTACCCTGTACAAGTGAATGTTTTGGAAAAATAAGCCATCAATTAAGAGATGTTTGGAAATTTATGTGTCAATAACTTGTTGCATTGCACCAACTATTGGAAGGCAAAATTTGGAACAAAGGTGGAGGAGAGGATGTATTGACTGACACTTCTAATGAACATTATATCTTTAAATTAACCTTCTGGTTTGTTGTTCTGATGCTGAGCATAAGTGAATAACTCGGCTAAATTGATAGTTAATTGTATGTGGTGCTTGTGCTTCGAGAAGATGGTCATTGAGACATTGACTAAAAGTTCTTATACAAAGTACTTCGTATTTCTTAAAATTAACCTTCTGGTTTGTTGTTTAGATGCTGAGGATAAGTGCATAACTCGGCTACATTTATAGTTGATTGTGCTTGTGCAGGTGCTAGCTTCAAGTTGTTCCTTTCTACTCCTCATTCTGAATTTTGTAGGATGTAGCACAATTTTATGTCACAATTTTGTGGTTCTAAGTACATGTACAGAAAACATGACAAACATAAGAAATTCTGAAATGTAGAGCATTACATATGCGAAGAATTCAACAGGATGTTAAGGTCAGCGATTTACAAAGAAACCAGCAGAATCAGAATGTATATAATGCTGGGACCACTGAATTAAATGGCAATCATATCTGTACTTCTTGCAACTGCCTTCGATTATATTAAAAACTAAATCGTTTTTACATTACCTCTACTTCAAGCCTTCTTGGTACCAAAACCTACACTATGTGCATTCATTAGGTCAATTCTTAATCACTATCAATGATCTCAACCCTTTGTGCAGTCTTGTTAACACGAGCATCATCACGGTGCAACAGCATTTGTTCAATGATAGGATCACAGATGCTCTGAAGCTCCAGCATCTTGTCTTCAAATTTACTAGCCTCTGTTAAAACATTCCAATCCAACCATTGCATTGTCTGTTGAATAGCATCCTCAATCTTCCTCCGATCTTTTTTGCCGATCTTATCAGCATCACGTCTCAGTAAGTGTCTCTTTTCATGAGCATAGTTCTCCATATCATTCTTTGCTTTGGCCTTACGCCTTTTTTGATCATCCTCATAATTGAGCTTCTCTGCAACTTTTATCATCTTTTCAATTTCTTCCCTTGACAATCGGCCACTGTGATAACTGACAGTCATTCCACTTTTTTTCAGAGTGGTCAGTTCCTGAGCATCACATTTAAGGATTCCGTCAGAGTCAATTTCGAAGCAAACATTGATGTCAATACAACCCCTCCGGTTACTGGCAGGAGGAACACCCAAAAGCTCAAAGTTTCCCAGCAAGTTATTATCTCTAGCTGTGATCCTCTCGCCTTCGTACACACTAAACAACACTTCAGACTGATTCTTTTTTGCTGTTGTAAATAACTTTTCCTTTTTGGTTGGGATGGGAGTGTTCCTTGGTATTAACACAGACAACTCTGCATTATTGTTCTCAATACCAAGAGAAAGAGGAGTTACATCAGTAAGCACAAACTCATTATTATCCGTGCCACTCACCATTGCAGCATGGGCTGCAGCCCCGTAGGCAACTGCTTCATCAGGATTGATGCTTTTATTCAGTTTCTTCCCACCAAAAAAATCCTGCAGCATCTGTTGAATCTTAGGAATCCTGCTCGAGCCACCTACTAAGAGAACCTCATGAACGTCGTTCGTTCTCATATTTGCTCCCATCAAACATTTCTCTGTTATTTCAATACACTTCTTAAATAACTCCATGTTCAACTTCTCAAAACGAGCACGAGTCATACATGAACACAAATCTATTCCATCAATAAGGCAATCTAGCTCAATAAATGTGGAAGAAGTTGTAGATAGGTTTCTTTTTGCTACCTCACAAGCAGCTCTCAACAGGTTTCTTTTCTATACTTTCTCTTTATCTCCTCCACAAAATGACTTACCATATTGTTGTCAATATCTTCACCCCCAAGATGAGTGTCTCCATTAACTGATTTCACTTCAAATGATTCCTTTTCGATTACGACCAAAGAGACATCAAAAGTACCCCCACCAAGATCAAATACCAACACATTTTTTCTGCCAGAAGCCTTCTTGTCAAGACCATAAGCAAATGCAGCTGCTGTTGGCTCATTAATAATGCGAAGCACATTTAGGCCAGCAATGATTCCAGCATCTTTAGTTGCCTGACGCTGCAGATTATTGAAATAAGCTGGAATAGTTATAACAGCATCCTTGACATTCGTACCAAGATAGGCTTCTGCAGTTTCCTTCATCTTTGAGAGGATCATTGCAGATATCTCTTCTGCAGAAAATTCCTTCTCTTGGCCTTTATAGTTAACTACAACCATTGGCTTCTTCTCGTTATTCGAACCAAAGCAAGCAACAACCTTAAATGGCCAAAGTCCGATGTCTTTTAATACACTTTCATCATTGAAGCTCCTTCCTATGAGCCTCTTCACATCTGTAATCAATTGAAATTCAAGAGCAGATGATAGGATGAGGATTAAATAAACATCAAAAGAGTTAAACTAACAGTTTATAACCAGTAGATAAGACTAGCTAAAATTGCATCCTACTGATATGTAATAGTGTTATGTTAATATAATATTATAATGCTATTCTAACTTCAGTTTATCCTTAGGAAAACAGATTCAAACAAATACATGACAGTTTTTTTTGAGAGTATATTGGAGCTATAATGCCTATAAACAGGGGAAATGTCGATGATCCATGTCTCATGTCATAACAATTAACAAAGTTGCTACAATTGTTGTAATCGAGCAGTCACCCACGAATAGCTCAATGATAAAACAAAGGATGTGGATCATTTTCTCACAGAACAGCATTCTCTGAAATTAATTACTGTCTCAAGTAGCCCAAGTGCCTACTAAATTGAGGCAAATATGGATGTAACAAGTTACAAAGACCCTAGATGTATTTCTAACTTTGTGTATCTTTCTTAGTAAAAAAAAAAAAAAAACCATTGAAGTAGATTCCAGCTAATAAAGATCCAAATAACACATAAAGAAAGAGAACAAGTTGTTTTTAAAAACACATTTGCCAATTTGGACTTTCGTTGTTAACATGTCTCACAATCTGAAAAACCCCAATGTCTATGATATTCAATCTGTCTTCTGCTAGGAGGGTCACGACATATTTAACCATAAACCATCCAATAATAGGAAAAGTGACAACTTTTTCCGGAAATCCTATTACAATTTTATGTATGTAGCTATAAATTCCCAACACAGAAAAATTCTGTCAGAAAACCTTGTTCTGGTTTTATTAGAGTCACTCATTAATTCCTTAACAACTTGATATTAACACTATTTTAATTCATCTCATAATCATGAATTAAAAAACCAAATTGAGTACTTCGGGATTTTTGCATCATAGCCCATAAGCGGAATGAAACTATTATAATAAGTTGTCCGATTATCTACTCTAATCAACTCCTTAAATGCATATCAAATTGAAGACTAATAAGAACAAAGAGAGAACAGAAAGAGAACAAACCAAATATAGTATTTTTTAGCATTGACTGGTGCTTGATTCTTGGCAGCATCACCAACAAGTCGTTGATCATTTTTGGTGAAGGCGACACAAGACGCCGTCGTCCTGTTACCTTGATCATTGGCAATAATCTCCACTGCGCCATGCTCCCATACAGCCACGCACGAGTAGGTCGTTCCGAGATCGATACCGATAGCTGGCGCTTTTTCTTTTTCTTTTTCTTTTTCTCCCATGTATGAACTTGTACTCGCCATAACTTTTATGAGAGAAGGAAGAGAAATTAAATATTTTATGACAAATATTAAAGTGTGAATGGCCAAGTTTTTTATGAGAGAAGGAAGAAAAATTGAAAATTGATGAAAAAAGTGTGAATAGCCAAGTTTTGAATAGCTCTTTCTCTCTCTAGCTCTCTTTGACTTTAATGTATGTAGGAGTTGGGAGTTGGAAGTTTTGGAACCCAAAGAAACTTGTATTTACCCATCATAAAGTTTACTTTTGGGTTTGCCTCATTTCAAATTCTTTTTCTCAATTTAAATTAAATTTGTGTAGGTTATAATTATGATTGACTACTGATTTACATTACTCTAGGCACTTAATATTTCAATTATATGCTTGGGAATTATATATCTACTTATCTACTCCGTAGTATAGCTCTACCAAAGTGGAGTTACATTTTAATCTTAAATTATCTTGGAAATAATCTATCTATATTATAATTTCCAAATATCATTTGATTTATGACAAAACTATAGTCTACAATTTAAATGCTACGAAGTACTTCTAATATTTTACGAGATTTTTTTTTTGTAAAATTGTCAATTCCAATTAGTAGCTTATTAATTTTAAGATTCCACAGATATAATTATGTAGTTTTGTTTGATATTGTTAAATTTGTTATGACTTTTAAAATATCAATTTTATACATAGTATAATTTGCATTGCAATCCTAAAATTCAAATGGTGATATTAAAAATTTATTATGTACGGAGTAAAATTCATTTTGCTTCTACACCTAAGATTTCAAATGTAAAATTACTCCTTTGATCATATTTGTTACTCCCTCTATTTTTTTTAACTATATTTTTATTTAACTACTCCAGCTTGACTTGACACATATACAGAAACAGAATTTTGACCAATTATATTTTAATTAAATATTATTCAATTAATACTTTCGTGTCCCCAAATGTTTGTCACTTTTGATGAAAATTAAAGGGAATTAAGGTGAAGCAATGAAAGTATATGGGAAACTGAAATTCTCAATCAATAATAAAGTAATAAAAGTGAATGGGAAAGAGAATTGAAATTCTCAATTAAAAAAGTAATGAAAATACATGGGAAAGAGAAATTGAGAGATTTAAGAATGTAAAAAATTAAATTAGTCAAAAGTTGGCACAATTTTTATGACAAATGTTAGGGTAACATAAGAAGATGACTTAATAATGATAAAAAAAATGAGGGTATAAAAGTCTTTTTATGTATCTTAATATTTATAAAAATATGAATTGTGACAAACATTTAGGGGTACCCAAAATGGCTAAAATGACAAATATTTAAGGACGGAAGGAATACAATTTTATCAAAAGTTCATACCTGAAAACTAGTTATTGAGACTATTCCAACAAGTACATACCCATATGACTATATTTTTCTTTTGCATAAATGAGAATTTTGTAAACCGTGTAAAATGTTATAATGGGGCACTTGAATAAAAGTAGAGTATTCCTATTTTGCACCTAGAAAGGTTCAAAAAGTTTTTCTTAGGTAAAATCTTTTATGTATGGTCAAAAATGTCTTATCAATATTTCTATATTTTTTTTGGTAAATGTGCCTCAATTTATTTTTTCCTTTTCTATTCCATGCAATTTTTAAAATTAAATTATATTCCACAGATTGAAGGGCGGTTTGTTGTCTTTTTAGTTAGGTTTTTTTTTTTCTTCTTACTACAAAAAAAAAAAAAAAAAAAAAAAAAAAACCCACATACATGAAAGTAGAAAAATTGGTGTTCACTTTTCTATTAGTAATTTTCTTAATAATCCTGATTTCAGTAAAATGAACTAATTTTTTTATTTTTTATATGACATAGTATTTTGGTACCAGAAAATTTAGGTGCAAAAACCCGCATATGGAGTATTTTGTAATTTTTATTTTTTATTATTTTGATATTAAAATAAAAATAAAAATGTGTTTGCTAGTATTTTGGTACCAAAATATGCAATTTGGTACTAAAATTGTATTGTTCCAATTCTCAGTGTGCTGCTACTCTACTAAGAGTTCCCCATGTTCGGTAATGACGCACTCTAATTTTATTGATTCTCCTATTATATTAACCCTATTTACCTTACTTTTTTTCTTAAAATAAATTTTTAATACACTTGATTTGTTTCAAAATAAATATTGTCACTATGAGATGAACAAATTTGCCAACACGAAACTTTAACCAATATTATCTCTAATTATCATTAAGTGTTTGGTTCAAAAGAGATTTAAATTTTCTTAGGAATTTTAATTTTATGGGAAGTGATAATTTTCCTATGACCATAATTTGTTTGGTTGGCACAAAAAAACTTTATAATTCCCATGAATTTTTATTGAACAAGAGAATGTTAAGTAAATACGGAGTAATAAATTCCCATGTTCTGTGGGAAATTAATTTTTCTAGGAATTTTTAAAATTGTATTTCTAATGAATTCAACTTTTCTCATTTTTTTTTGTTTAACCAAACAAGGCTTAAGCATAAATAAATTATAACAAGTTAATATTCGGAAAGTATATGTTGAGACGATTTTAACTACATTTCCACATGACTATTATTTTTCTTAAATTTAAATCAGGTCAGGGTGTAATATGTAAATCCCGTCATAAAAAAAGCGTATTATGTAAATAGTGTTAAAAAGACATTTTAAACATTTATTTGAAGCAGAAGAAATACGTCAATATATACGGAGTTAGTCTACAAAATCACAATTTCATACGGAGTATTTTTTTCTACTAATAACGTTTTTATAAGTCGATTAATTGACTTTTTTTTTTAAAAAAAATGGAGAAACGTGATCATAAATTTTGCGGGGAGTTCAAAAAAGTAGGATCGGAGTAGACAGTAGTCTGATGTATAGGGTTTTCTGTATTCCTAGTGCTCTATATATTGTAAAGCTTCCGCAAAGTAATACAAGTCAATTGACATATTTCCCTAAATTTATTAACGGCTATTTCACCAAATGCCACTGAGTAATTTCGAAATTCATCAAATGCCATCGAACTTTTCAAAATTCACTAAATGTCACTGAGTTTTAGTACAATATCACCAAATGTCATTTTCATTAGTTGGCCGTCATTGTCCGTTAGTTGACCGTTAGTTGACCCCACCACTTGCCACGTGTCACCTTCTGCTTGATCCTTTTTTTTTAAAAAAATGATAATTAAACTGAAATTTAAAAAAAAAAAAAAAAAAAAACCCAAACCCCAACCCCACCACCCTCCCTTTCCTCCATAACTTCCGACCAACACCACAACAACCACCCCCCTCAACCCCACCACCAGAAAACGCGTCAGATCCAACAGCCCTCCTCCCTTTCCCCTCCTCTTCCCCAGTCACGACCCACCTCTCCCCGTCGCACTTATTAAACCACTTCCTCCATTTTTGTCTCTCCATTGAAGCAGCTCGTCTCCACAGCTCCCCTCACCCGCCGCTCCTCCCATTGAAGCACACTCCATTTTCGTCCCTCCATTGAAGCGCACTCCATTTTCTCCCTTGAAGCGAAATCTGGGTTCCATTGAAGCGCACACCATGTTCTCTATCCTCCTCTTGTTTATCCATTACTTTAATTGTGAGTATTACTTTCGTGTTTATCACAATTTCATAATCTAGCTATCAATTTTCAGCATTTTCAATTTAGCATTATCATTTACTTTCGTGGGTGGTGGAGGAAGGGGGGTGGGGTTTCGTGGGTTAGGGGGTCGTGACGGGATAGGGGAGGGGAAGGGGAGGGTTCGCCGGCAGCCGGCGCGCCTTCCGGTGCTAGCCCCAGCGGCAGAGGGTGGCGGCGGCTAGGGTTTTGGGGTGGGCAGGGGGCTCGACGTGTGTATGAGTTCTTTTTTTAAAAAAAAATGGACCAATCAAAAGGTGACACGTGACAAGTGATGGGGTCAACTAACGGACAGTGACGGTCAACTAACAAAAATAACATTTGGTGATATTATATTAAAATTAAGTGGCATTTGGTGAATTTTGAAAAATTCGATGACATTTGGTGAATTTCGAAATTACTCATTGGCTTCACTATACAAATGAAAAACCTCTTTCATTTTAGAAAATGGAGAATGAAATAGATAAAAAGAGTATGGAGTTATGGCCGGCAATTGGAATTGACCTCGGGACAACATACTCGTGTGTAGGAGTATGGCAAGCTCAGCACGACCGTGTTGAGATCATCACCAATGACTTGGGTAACCGTACGACGCCGTCTTGGGTGTCTTTCAATCAAAACGAGCGTCTTATTGGTGAGAGTGCTAAGAATCAAGCGGCTATGAATCCAGCCAACACCATCTTTGGTTTGCTTTCTCCTTTTTTTTTTCTTTGATCAAAATTATTTAGTTTTTGTTAATTGTGGTAAAATGATGTAAAACTAAGTAATGAATCAATTGATTGCTTAATGCTTTTGGTTAAAGTTACACACTGTGAAACACTATATATTTGATGAAGAAAATGTCATTCTAATTGCATAATCTTGGTTCATTTATTATATGAATTATGAAATGTGTGCTATTTTAACAATGTGAAGGATACTGTATTAAATTTTGAATTGCGAGTAATTACTCTGTATATTGTATGTTAATTTTGTTACATCATATTGTAATCATTGGGTAAATGAGCAGATAAGTGTCATGAAGTTCCATAGAAAATCAATCATGAAATCAATTTGTAAAGTATAAATAAATGAACAGCTATTGGAACCATTTTTCCAGGATTATTAGTTATAATTCTATGATCGGTGGTTACAGTCCTTACAAGAAAGTTGCTCAATTACATAATTTCTGTTTTATGGTCTTAATTTGTAATTGGGTAAATTCCAATCATTTTGTTATTGATTTTGGACTAAACTAATCTTTTGATTATCTTGGCTGGTTTGATTTTTGTTCTCATTCCTATTTGATTTCTAATTGTTGGTACCAATTGTTACTCCCTCCATCTGTTAAAGTCCGTGTTTTGTTTAGAACTTTTTTATGAGACAAAAAAAGTCAAAGTAGGATTGGAAGAACTTTGAGAGTAGATTAAAAAGGCATTAAAGTTTGTGACAATGATGAAGTGCTCGATATCATGAGGGAATTTCTGTTTGTGTTTCTGCTAAGTAGGAGGAGATTTAAAATGTTTTGGTTTATAATTGTACAGTTTTACTTGTGCTCTAGATACATCTTACTGATAATCAATTTTCGTGTTGGCAGATGCAAAGAGGCTTATAGGTAGGAGATTCAAAGATGAAAATGTGCAAAAAGACATGAAGCTCTGGCCATTCTTAGTTGTTGCTGCTCCTGATGGTGCCAATGACAAAAAGCCTATGATTTCGGTAACCTATGAGGATGAAGAGAGGCTATTTGCTGCTGAGGAGATATCTTCTATGATCCTTGCAAAGATGAAAGACATTGCAGCAGCATATCTTGATTCAGAAGTGAAGAATGCTGTGATCACCGTTCCTGCCTACTTCAACAATGCTCAACGTCAGGCAACAAAAGATGCGGGAATCATAGCTGGACTCAACGTCATGTGCATTCTTAACGAACCAACAGCTGCTGCCATTGCTTATGGTCTAAAAAAGAAGCTTAATTGCAGTACTGATGCTGATTCAAGGAATATTTTGGTTTTTGATCCTGGAGGTGGAACTTTTGATGTGTCTATAGTCGCGGTGAAGAAGGATGTCTTTGAAGTCAGAGCAGTATGCGGGGACTCCCACCTTGGTGGAGGAGACTTTGACAATAGAATGATGGACCACCTTGTAACCGAGATTAAAATAAAGCATGACAAGGATATAAGTGCAAATCGTAGGGCTCTCGGGAGGTTGAGAGCTGCATGTGAAAGGGCTAAGAGAATCCTCTCTACAACTTCAGAGACTACTATTGATATTGATGGTCTCTTCGAGGGTATGGATTTCTCATCAACCGTCAATCAAGCAAGATTTGAAAAATTCAACAAGGATTTGTTCATGGATTGTTTGGACCATGTTGAAAAGTGTCTGAAGGATGCAAAATTGGAGAGGAGTGATATTGATGATGTAGTCCTTGTTGGTGGGTCTACTCGGATCCCCAAAGTTCAGAAGTTGTTGCAGGATTTTTTCAAAGGGAAGGAGCTCTGCAAAGGCATTAACCCGGATGAGGCTGTTGCGTATGGTGCTGCTTATCATGCTGCCATCTTGGCCGGTGTAGACAGTAGCAGTAAGAACACTGTTCTTGTGGATGTTACTCCCTTATCCCTTGGTTTTAAAAATCACAGTGGTAAGATGAGTGTTGTGATTCCTCGAAATACACCAATTCCTGCAAAGATGGAGAAGATATATACCACTCGTGTTGACAACCAAACTAGTGTACTAATTCCGGTGTATGAGGGAGAGAGCCCTTGTGCTGAGGATAATAACCTCTTGGGTAGCTTTGTTCTCCATGGCATTCCTCCAGCACGAGCAAATATTCCTAAGATAGTTCAATGCATAAACATTGATGAGAATGGCATCTTGACGGTGACAGCAGAGGATAAAAGCACTGGGAACAAAAATCAGCTAACCATAACTGAACACAGTGGGAGATTGTCTAAGGAAGAGATTGATAGGAAGGTGGAAGAAGCGAAAAAGTTCAAAGCTCGGGATGAGGAGCGCAAGAAGGCAGCTATAGCAAAGAACAACTTGGACAATTATATTGACGAGATGGTAGACACCTTGAGAAGCTACAAGAAGAGGCTCGGGAGAAAGAGCAAGAGGAAGCTAGACGATGCTATAGAGAATATAACCCAATGGTTAGACTGGAACTACATGCTTCCTGAAGCTAGCAAGTTTGAGGAAAAGATGAAGGAACTCGAGAGCATTTGCGAGCCTATCATTGCAATGATGCACCAAGAGGAGTCCGATTCTGATGTGGTTATGAGTTGTGCTTCTCCAAAGATTGAGATTATAGATCTTGATTGAACTAGTTCATACCTTATTACAAGCTAAGGTTAAATTTACTCCAAGAAAATAGATTTAATGAATCTTTCATTTTGTTGCGTGTATTTTGCTTTGATATGGAGTTTGTTGTTCGTTTTTGTTAGGATCCTCTTCTAACTCTGTTGATTTAATTTAGTTGCAACAAAGCTGAAGCTTAATATTAGTCATTCTGAGTATTATTCGCACGTATAGTGTTATTTGCTAGCCTAATATTATAAAATAAATGATATAGAGTGGCTAGAAATTTTATATATTTAACAGTCGTGAGCCTTGGTTTGGATCAAGCAAATTCGGATTTTTTTTATTTTTATTTATTTGGGAGGGGAAATTCAATTTTTTTGGGAAAGACTTAATTATTAGCATTTATTTTGTGGGAAGGGTTAAGTTTACATAAAGAGATTTTAAAATCAGCATAATGGTCACCCACTCTAGTAATTGAATATCTTTGTTTCCTTTAATTTCATCACTTTCTCACTTTCTGTATAATTTTCTAATCTAATTTGGTTTAAAAAACCAACCCCGTATATTTTAGGAAGGTTGTATGTGCTTAGGAAACATGCTAAGCGTTTGTTTCCGAATCTTACTAATGATCAATTAAGTTAAACAAAGTTATGTACTAGATAAAATTACTAATATTAAAAGATATTATTTTATTTTTAATTTATCTAAACTCTCAAATTTTATTTGTTGATTGGTGATTGAATTATTTAGTTCCTTAAGAAACAAAAATCGACATAGGATAAAACTCCTCTATATATATGGAGAAGTATTTGATTGTAAACCTTCCACAAAGTAATACAAGTCAATTCCTGTTAAAAAAAAAAGTAATACAAGTCAATTGACCATATTTTCCTTAAAGTTTATCAACAATAACGATGAAAGAAAAGAGAGATAATTTATGGCCGGCAATAGGAGTCGATTTAGGGACAACTTACTCATGTGTGGGAGTGTGGCAGCCACAGCATGGTCGTGTTGAGATCATTCACAACCACTTAGGCAACCGTACCACGCCGTCTTGTGTAGCCTTTACCAAAGACCAGCGCCTTATTGGTGAGAGTGCCAAGAACCAGGCTGCATTTAACCCTACCAACACCGTCTTTGGTTAGTCTTCCTCTCTTTGTTATTATGCATGTTCTTTTTTTTTTTTTGTGTTATGGTTTTATAGGGTAAATTATTAGAGATAATTTAGAATAATAATCAAAACTTGCTGTTTTATAACTGTATAAGTACTTCCTAGTCTATGTGTATAATATAAGTTGATCTACACAATTAAACCTTGCTTGTATCTTCTTTTACTTCCCAATAAATTTACTTTGCTGCAAGTAAATCTAGTATGTTACTGCTTATAAAATTTCGCCTTAAGTAATGTCATTGCAAAGGTGAAAGGTTTAATTTGTTCCCGAAGTTGATACATGCGTATAGGTTAGGAATATATGGACTATAAATGTTCATGCCACATTTTTTGTTTCGCTCTTAGAAGACTAAAAATTATTTGAGGGTTATAATCCTTTTCCTATAATGAATAACGAAATACGAAATCAAATTATTAAGATATATGGCTGGTCAAATTATTTGCTTACTGCAAATCTGTAATGTAGTAGTTCTAACTCTAAGTATGATACATAGTGTTTAGATTGGTTTTAATATGCTGTAGTTTTAATTTGCTCGACTTGGTTATATTAATGACAGATGCAAAGAGGCTTATAGGTAGGAAATTCAATGATAAAATGGTACAGAAAGATATGATCCACTGGCCATTTAAAGTGGTTGCTGGCCCAGATGCTGGCGATTTCCAAAAGCCTATGATTTCAGTAACATATGAAGGTGAAGACAGGACATTTGCTCCCGAGGAGATATCTTCTATGGTCCTAGCGAAAATGAAGGAGACTGCAGAGGCCTACCTAGGCTCAGAAGTGAAATATGCTGTGATCACCGTTCCTGCTTACTTTAATGATGCTCAACGCCAGGCAACTAAAGATGCTGGTACCATTGCTGGGCTCAATGTCATGCGTATTATTAACGAGCCAACAGCTGCTGCCATTGCATATGGTCTAGACAAGAAGATTAATAGCGGTTGTGTTGGGACGAAAAAGATTTTGGTTTTTGATCTAGGAGGTGGAACTTTTGATGTCTCTTTAGTGGCTATTAAGAAGGATGTGTTTGAAGTAAAGGCAGTAAACGGGGACACCCACCTTGGTGGTGGAGACTTTGACATTAGAATTGTGAGCCACTTTGTCACCGAGTTTAAAAAGAAACACAATAAAGACATAAGTGGTAATCCAAGGGCTCTTGAGAGGTTAAGAGCTGCTTGTGAGAGGGCAAAGAGAAACCTCTCTTCAACTACTGAGACTACTATAGAAATTGATTGTCTATTTGAAGGCATCGATTTTTTTTCTACCCTGAATCGTGCACGGTTTGATAAGATAAATATGAAGTTGTTCATGAATTGTTTGGGCCCTGTTGAGGAGTGTTTGAAGGATGCAAAGCTGAAGAAGGATGATGTGCATGATGTTGTTTTAGTTGGCGGGTCAACTCGGATCCCTAAGGTGCAGACCATGTTGCAAGAATTTTTCAATGGGAGAGAGCTCTGCAAAGGCATTAATCCTGATGAGGCTGTTGCCTATGGTGCTGCTTTTTTTGCTGCTGTCATGGCCGGTGTCGATTGCAGCAGTAAAAACACCGTGCTTGTGGATGTTACTCCCTTATCTCTTGGTATTAAGGTTAATAGTGGTGAGTTGGAAGTTGTGATTCCTCGAAACACACCAATACCTGCAAAGATGGAGAAAAGGTTTACCACTAAGAAAGACAATCAGTCGAGCGTATATATAGGTGTTTACGAGGGTGAGAGACCCATTGCAAAGGATAACAACTTCTTGGGCAGCTTTGTACTTGATGGCATCCTTCCAGCACCGGCGAATGTTCCAATTATAATGGGATCCTTGAGCATAGATGAGAATGGAATCTTGACTGTGACAGCAGAAGATAAAAACAATGGAAACAAGAATCAGTTAACCATTACCAATCACAGTATAAGGTTACCGGAGGAGATTGATAGGATGGTGGAAGAGGCAATAAAATTCAAAGCTCAGGATGAGAAGCTCAAGGAAGCAGCCATTGCCAAGAACAACTTAGAAGTTTATGTTGACAAGATGACGAGCACCATGAAAAGCTGTAGAAGAAAGATTGGGATAAAGAACAAGAAGCAGCTTGGTGATGCAATTGAGAAGACTACCCAATGGCTAAATTTGAATTACCTGCTTCCGGAGGCCTGTAAGTTTGAGGAAAAATTGAATGAGCTTGAGAGAATTTGTGAGCCTATCTTGGAAAAGATGTTGTGAAAGGCAGTAACATTGCCTAGATTCAGTTTTTTGGAGCTTGATTGAATTTAGTTCTAGACTTTTCTAGTAGGAACATAATTTTTGTAAGTTATTCTAATGCTTTACTAATGCACATATATACAATGTTTTGATCAGATGCCAAGATAGTGATGTGCACTTTGCTAATTACTGGGATGATGCATGTTTGAATCTGATCATATGTTTGCAACATAACTCAAGATAATGTCAAATATAATAAGGAAATAAAACCAGATCAAATTCCTGCAAAAGACTGAAGTCATGCAGGTAGTATTCATTTTTTACAAGACATACAGTAGACATCTAGCTCACCGAAACTACCTACCATTATATATGATCACCAAGATTAATTCTAGTACATACTTGCAGCATAATCATACAATTGGGGAGGTTAATTCAAGGTTTGGAGTAGGAAAATATTACAATCCCCTGCCACTGGCAGCATAATGTTGTTCCAAAGAGTAACACAGCAGGAAAAAGATCTTAAAAATGAACAAAAGATTAGAAATCAGTTTACCAGCTTGGATTTCATATCAGTATACTGGAGATAGATCTTCAAGCCTATTCAACAAAGTTGTTATCTGAATTCAAGCTTAATCAACTTCGACAACAACATTTCCCACATTACTGATGCCTGCCTCAGCATCACACAGTTTGTCCATCTTCTTGACTATGGGTTCGCAGACACTCTTGAGCTCTTTCAGCTTGTCCTTGAACTTAGAAATTTCGGTAAGAAGGAAATTCCAATCCATCCATTGTAATGTTTGCTCAATGACAACCTCCATCATACTCCTGTCCTCAAGCACAATACTCTTCTCAGTTTCAAGAAAGTACCTCATGTCCTCAACATATTCTTCCAACTCATTCATTGCTTGGACCTTTACCTTGCATAGCTCATCCTCGTACCTATACTTATCAGCTTCTCTCGACATTCTTTCAACCTCTTCCTTTGACAAATTCCCAGTGTGATACGAAATGGTTATTCCATTCTTACTGCCAGAAGCCTCATCTTGGGCATAACATTTCATGATACTATCAGCATCAATTTCAAACCACGCCTTTATATTAGGATTTTCTTTGGGTGCTGGAGGAATTCCTGAGAGTTCAAATACACCCAAAAAGTTATTTTTGTTGGCGATGGGATTCTCACCTTCATAAACATTGAAAGTTATTTCACTTTGATTGTCTTCTGTTGTTGTAAATTCCTTCTCTTTCATTACCGGAATTGGAGTGTTCCTAGGGATTATGACCGACATCCCACCATGATAATTTTCAATGCCAAGAGACAATGGAGTAACATCAACAAGCACGTAATCCTCATTATCTACACAGCTCAAGACTGCAGCATGAGCTGCAGCTCCATGGGCAACCGCCTCATCTGGGTTGATACTTTTGCAAAGCTGCTTCCCATCAAAAAACCTGCTCAGCAATTCTTGAATCTTAGGGATCCTACTTGACCCACCAACTAAGACAATTTCATCAACGTCTTTTTTTTCCATTTTAGCATCTTTCAAACATTTCTCAACAGGACCTATACATCTCTTGAACAGATCTAAGCTCAACTTTTCAAACCGAGCACGAGGAAAACTTGAAGAGAAATCAATACCTTCAAAAAGGCAATCAATATCTATACTGGTCACAGCAGCAGAAGAAAGGGTCCTTTTTGCCTTCTCGCATGCAGCTCTTAACCTCCCAATAGCCCTGGGGTTTTCACTGATGTCCTTACGATGCTTTCTCTTAAACTCATTCACAAAATAATTCACTATTCTGTTGTCAAAATCTTCACCACCTAAATGAGTGTCTCCACTAACTGATTTGACTTCAAATGCCTCACTTTCAATTGTGATCAAAGAGACATCTAAAGTACCCCCGCCAAGATCAAATACCATCACATTCGTTTTGCCAGTGGCTGCCTTTCTGTCTAGGCCGTAAGCAATGGCAGCAGCTGTTGGCTCATTAATAATTCGTATGACATTCAAGCCAGCTATAACTCCAGCATCCTTGGTTCCTTGTCTCTGCAAATTGTTGAAGTAAGCTGGCACAGTGACGACAACATTCTTAACTGTTACTCCAAGATAGGCCTCTGCAATTTCTTTAATCTTCGAAAGGACCATAGCAGAAATTTCTTCAGCAGTAAATTTCTTCTCTTTGCCCATGTAGGTGACCACAATCAGAGGCTTCTTATCATCATCATTACTAGGAACAACCTTGAAAGGCCAAAGTTTGATGTCCTTCTGCACAGCCTCATCATAGAAGCCCCTACCTATAAGCCTCTTCACGTCTGTCATCAATTAAGTATAATGAATTCGAGAAGGAGATTAAATTAACATCAAAGGATTGGTTATTTAGTACCTACAAACATAATAATATAAACGAACTATAGAGTACTTACCCTAAACACATTTTTATGTTTACCATAAATTTGGAGTATAAAGGCCAAGATGACTTGGGCAAAATCACAATTCGAAAACTCAGAAACAACAGGGCCAAAATGCAGTCGTCAACACTCAATTGTAGGTAATCTTTACAGCCAATAGAGCAAACTATTATTATATCTTGTGGATCGTTTTTATAGGGTGGTAGAAGTGCATACAAATACAACACAAGTTCAGAGTTCTGTGGGTTTTTAAGGAACAAAATATTCAACAATTCCAAGTTCAAATCCTCTTATTCTAAAACTACCTTAACTTCTATATAAAATTTATTCCAAAATTTGAACTTATTGTTTAGGATTGGAATGAGATCTATTTCATCTTACCCTTCAAAAATTAAAAACCACCTGTCACAAGAGAATGAAACTAGAATTTTTTAGGTAATAAGGAGAAAGATCAGTTTGAACTGACTGTTCTCAAGTATAAAGTTATCGGGAGTTCGAAGGATAAGAAAATCTCTACCCCTAAATACCCCTCCTATCCTAAAGTTAGAGCTAATAATATAGTGAACATAATTCAATTATTCATCATACATCATAACAAATTCAAATATTATCTCACAAAAGTGCTAGGAAAGTAAGTGCAATAAACATGCTGAAAAAAGCTTCTAAATTTACAAGTTGAGACAGCAAAATTAAAAGAAAGAGATAAGAACAAACCAAATATAGTGTTGGCAGAGTTGATAGTAGCTTGGTTCTTGGCAGCATCACCAATAAGGCGTTCAGTTTTGGTAAAGGCAACGTAAGACGGCGTCGTACGATTACCTTGATCATTAGTGATAATCTCCACCTTACCATGACGCCAAACTGCCACACATGAGTTTGTTGTCCCGAGATCGATCCCGATTGCCGGCATTTTCTCCTTTGCCATTGTCGCACACACTGCTTTAAAAATTACTTCTGTAATGGAAGGGGGAAAAAATAGAGAGAATAAAAATGAAGTTCTTTTGAGTATGAAGCTAAGGTAGCAGAGAGGTAGATAATAAGGATGAATGAAAGAGTAATTTAAACAAGTAGGAAGTAATTAATTGCTTACATGGAGTGTTTTCCTGCCATCCTTCACTCTGCATTTACTTCCCTTTCTTTTACTTAATAATGAAGCAAAGGGAAGTGTGTAGTTCACAATAATAGTTCCACAAGTTCTCTCTCTGAGTAGCTATAGTTTTAGCTCAATTGATAAAGTAAGATAATGAATACTACTCTCTTTGTCCTTTTTTGCTTGTTTGATTTAGAATTTTGTTGAACGGAACACGAAGTATTTAATTTTTGGTGAGTGAAGTTGATAAGAGGAACATTAATGAGACCAAATTTAAAATAAGAGAGGTAAGTAAAGCAATAGTTTGTCATAGACTCGTACTCCGTAGTAATTTTTATAAAATATGGCAAACTCTAAGGCAACAAAAAGAATACAAAGGGAGTACTCCATATAAAACTATTCGGCTAATTGTTAGCCACCTATTAAAAAAATTAGCAAGTGATTTAATATGATAAAAAATGTAATAGAAAATACCTAGCGCTACCCCCACGACGTTGTTGTAAAGTATAAAGGCAGAACATAGAGGGAGAAACAATGGTAATTGAAACGGAGTACCTCAAATTGTAAGTGTAGTTCTTTATTATTGTTAAGATCGAATATGTAGCAATTGTATTTATAGCTATGAAGTATGAAGTGCAATTATGTTGGAACTGTAACAAATTAACAATCAAAGGGAACCAATTCACAGACGACCTATAAATTTGATTTTTGGAAGTTGAAATAGAGAAAAATTACACAAAATCATCTGTTATGGTGTTTAGTGTGAGTGAAATTGTCAAGCAATAAAACGTACATGATTAATAGTTCCCAAATTGAGAAAACATGTAGATTGGATTCACTAGTAACAATCAATCAGTCACTGAGGGAGTGTCGCAAGCATTATAATCACAGTTATTGACACATTTTCCTGAATCACTCCTTAAAGCTTTTATTAACAGTGTCATGCAAATCATTGATACAACATACAAGTGAAGTTACTATTTGAAACATTAATCATAAAGAAGCACTAATTTTGATTGAGTGTTCTATCCTACAAAAGAATTACAACCAGTACAATGAACTCTTACCATACCAATCTGTCTGCAAATTAAAATACGCAGCAACAACAGATTAATCCAAGTCAAGTTCGATGATCTCAATTTTTGCTCTGCTGCCACTTGCGCCATTGTTACTCATTGATAAATTCTGTGTCTCAAGCATCTTTGTGATAATTGGTCCACAAACGCCCTCGAGTTCTATCATTTTGTCCTCAAACTTGCAACCTTCTGCGAGAACAAAATTCTGGTCTAGCCATTGGATTGTCTGATTAATAGCAACCGCCATCTTCCGCCTCTCACTGAGCCCAACTTTTGCTCCATGACATTCTAGCATTGTTTCCATGTTTTGAGTATATGTTTCTAAGGAATTCATAGCTTTTACCTTCTCTTGATACTGCTTATCCGCAACCCTAAACTTTTCAGCATCTTTCACCATCCTCCTAACCTCTTTTCTCGACAATCTCCCACTGTGATAGTGTGCTATAGCTCTGATTTTGTTGCCAGTCATCAGCTCCTGGGCAGAACAATGTAGAATACCATCAGCATCAATTTTAAAGAAGACTTCAATTCTAGGAATGTGTTTCTGTGCTTGAGGAATTCCTGAGAACTTCAATTCACATAAAAAGTTAGTGTCCGATGCTTCAAGTGTCTCACCTTGGTGCACAGGAATATATACTCGAGTCTTGTAGTCCCTTGAAGTTGTAAAGATCTTCTCCATTCTCGTTGGAATAGGGCTGTTCCTTGGAATGACAACAGCCATTCTTCCCAAATGAACCTTAACCCCAATAGACAATGGAGTTACATCAACAAGCCTCGGATTGTTATCATCAAAACAGCTCAAACTTGCAGCATAAATGGCAGCCCCACAAGCAACGGCCTCATCCGGGTTAATGCTTTTGTAGAGTTCCTTACCACAAAAGAAGTCTTGCAACAGTTGTTGAACTTTAGGGATTCTACTTGATCCACCAACTAGGACAACATCATCAACATCACCTTTAACCATTTTAGCATCCTTCAAGCATTTCTTTACATGTTTTATACACTCTTCAAACAAGTCCAAATTTAAGTTCTCAAATTGGGCACGAGTAATAGTTGAGGAAAAATCAGTGCCTTCTAGAAGACAATCAATCTCAATTGTAGCTATAGATGTTGAAGAAAGGTTCCTTTTTGCCCTCTCACAGGCAGCTCTCAGCCTTGCCATGGCCCTAGGATTTCGACTGATGTCCTTATGATGCTTCTCTTCAAACTCAGCTGAAAAGTGTCTAACCATTCTGATGTCAAAATCTCCTCCTCCTAAATGGGTGTCTCCGCTAACTGATTTTACTCGAATTACATTCTTTTTAAAAGTAACCAAGGCTACATCAAAAGTTCCCCCACCAAGATCAATTACCAAAACATTTCTTCTCACCACATTGCTGCCATTAGGCTTCTGGGCAAGGCCATATGCAAAGGCAGATGCTGTTGGCTCGTTAATAATTCGTACACCACTAAGCCCAGCAATGGTTGCAGCATCCTTAGTTGCCTGGCGCTGCAGATTATTAAAATAAGCTGGAACAGTAACAACAGCATTATTCACAGCTGAGCCAACATATGCCTCTGCAACTTCTTTCATTTTCATCAGGACCATAGCAGAAATTTCTATTGCTGCAAACTTCCTCTGTTCTCCCTTGTAGGTAACTGCAACCACAGGCTTCTTGCCAGTTCCATGACAAGGGCTAGCATCAACCTGAAAAGGCCAAAGTATCATGTCCTTTTGCACTAATTCATCATCAAACTCCCGCCCAATTAGCCTCTTTGCATCTGTCGTCAATTAGTTTACAAAGATATAAAGATCAAAGGGGTTAACATATTACAAAGAGTGGTTGAAGAGCAGATAGTTAAGCCAGGTTCATTCAAAATTTCCACGGAAGAGATATACATAAGGAAAGAATCACACATTCACACAAGAAAAGGTCAATAAAATAATCACATACGGAAAATTGCCAGTTGAAGATTAGTTACCCATAGTAGTCCCATACCATAAGAGTTGTAGTAACTGGCTGCTTCACATCAATATCAAACTTTTGGGTCTGATTTCCTATAGTCCCTAAATTTTTTAACTTTCTATACCCAAGTTTTTCATAAAATAAAGAGATTGTATAACACGAAGTAGTATAGAAGGATTCCTGCCAATTATATCCCATGATTCATAAACAGATTCAATACAAGAACTCCACAGAGAAAACACAAGAAAACCAACACTTGGCCTAAAAGGAAATACCTAGTGCGAGAGAAAACAACCATCATAAACTAAAGAGACTCAAATTAAACATTATCTTATACAGATAACTTTTTTGGAAGAATACAATTAGCTCAATTGATAATCTCAGCTTTGATAAGCCTAGCTAATCCCTAAAATGGTTTTTTCTAGCCTATATTAGTGGATCAATTTAAATAATACAATTCTGCAATCCTCCTCGGCTCATCCCCCTTTATTCTTCTTCTCAAATCTTACTCCTATGTATTATCATTCTTGTGCAAACAGACTAGCTCTTTGAACCATCAAATACTAGAACTAAGTTTATCAACAAACTCTGTATGATTTTAATCTATACACCCATTGAAAGATTTGGGATGAATATTGAAACAAGAAAAATATTCGGTCTCTGTTGTACATTCCATTCCCCGAACACCTCATAAAACAAAAAAACAAACCATTTGTTAACCCGATCTAAACTATATAACTCAATCCTGAATTGAGTAGTCTATAATTATGACCTCATTTTTGACACATCAAAGTTGATCAACCGAATCTGGCCTAAAACTTAATGTTACTAACATTGATTAATGCATCATGATAAGCTATTAACAAATATGCATTATATTTAACCATATAATATATCATATTACTCCAAAATAAAACTAACATATCATAAATAGAAGCTAATCAAGCTATCATAAACCAAATTCGAGTTTATACTAGGCATAATTAACCATTAATCATTCAAAAATGGAAGAAAAATAAGCAAATATGATAACAAAACTTACTAAACTTAGAAAAAAAAGAGAGGAACATACCAAAAATGGTGTTACAAGGGTTAGTGATGAGTTGGTTAAAAGCAGCATCACCAGTAAAACGGTGAGTTTGGGTGAAAGAAACATAAGACGGCGTCGTGCGATTACCATGATCATTGGGGATGACCTCCACACGGCCGTGCTGCCAAACTGCCACACACGAATGCGTCGTGCCGAGATCGATTCCGATCGCCGGCATATTGCTCTCTACCATTTTCCGAATTTAGAAATAAGCGGATAAAAGAGACTGTGACAGAGTAATTGAGGTGTACTTTATTGAGTAATTGATGTGTGAAAAAATGAAGCTACTCAAGTACTGGAGTAGCTCATTTCTCTTTCTCATCTCCTTTAATTATTGCTCCATTTAATATTTTACAATTTTCTAAAACTTGTCTTTAACTTTAAAATTTTCCATAATTTCATCTTCATATTTCAAAATTTGTACTAGTAAGTTAAAACAATTGACATCACCTACAAAGTACTTGTAATATTTATTTATTTATTTTTGTTATAATACTCCCTCTATCTCATTATACTTTCCTTGTTAGCATTTTTGAGTGATCTATCATTATTTTTTTACGTAATACTTTTGTTGTATAAGACCATCCCCAATGATGAAACTTGAGGGAGTCTTTTTAGAAAAGAGAGAGTATTTGTTGCAAAGGATACCAATAAGTTAGTATCTAAACTTAGCAACTCCAAAAGAAAGTTACTAAATTTAGATACTCAACTTTGAGTCTCATTTGACAAAAAGAGTGGGTCTTTTATCAATATTATAATAAATTTGGTACTTTATTTAAGTTTTATTTTTTATTTTATTTTGAAAAAGTTACAATATGGATTTGGTGGGTCATAAATTGAAAATGACATTAGTATACTTTAGAGAATCTCACCATTAGGAAATTAGACTTCATATAAGTTTCTAAATTGATAAGTGGGTTGGGTATCACCATTGGAGGTAAAAAAACAACTCATTTTGTATTTCAATACTCAAAGTTAAGTCTCAGTAATGGAGATGGCCTGGTAGTTCTCCCTCCGTTTTATATAACACTTATATGTAGAGATGGCAACAGACCACATCTGGACCGGATCCTATTGGATTCGGATCCAGATTCGTTTTAAGGACATAGATCTAGATCCGGATCCGGATTCGCGGATCCAAAATTGCAGGATCCAGATCCGGATCCAACAGATCCACGGCTCCGGATCCGAGTCCACGTATTTTTTTTTGTTTCAAAAATTTGTTACTTTTAAAACTTTTAATTGTGCAAAAGAAGCTAAAATATTAGATTTATAAGTTCAGTTAATACATATTTACATGATCAAACCATTATTTTTCCAAAATAATAAATAAATAATTAAAGTTTAGTTCATAAAATAATAACAAACAAAGTATGTAATACTAGAGAAACTTATAGGTATATATTTATATAAGAATTGCCAAATTAATTAATAAATATATAATTCTTGAATAAAATAATAATAATATATAACATTAAAAAAAACGGATCCACGGGTAGAATCTGGACCGAATCCAAATCTCAAAAATAGGATCCAGATCTAGATCCAGTCCATCAAAATGAATCTGGATCCAGATCCACGGGTCCAATAGAAATCCAGATCCTGTAAAACAGTTCTGGATCCACCGAATCCGAATCGGATCCAGGATCCATTGTCATCTCTACTTATATGAAACAAAGGACAGTTTTTATTTATGCCCCATAGGAAAGTGCTTTTGGTGTTTTTAAAGCAAGAATATGTTACAGTTTTATCTCCTCCTAATATTAAATTTGTAATTTCCAATAAAATACAATTACAAATGTAAAATAACAATTGCAAGTTACATAGGGAGTGTAAGTTTTCAACAAGTCATGTAGTCCGTATCTTTTAGGTAGCCAAACACATAATGTGAAGGTGTAATCAATTAATTATACTCGTATTTGTTTATAACTTATAAGAGTAACCTTATTATACTCACTTATATCAGATTATTAGTAACCCATCAATTTACAAATGTAATATTAAAATCTCAAGAAGAGTAAATTCAATTCATTATATGAGTAACATCATATATATATATATATATATATATATCAAATAATTAAAAAGAAAGAAATTTCATTTATTAATTCGAATAACCTCTTCTTTAATTTAAGAGAAGTAACCTCATTTTTACATTTTAGTGACCCTGATCCATTTGGGTAACCCTATATAATCATCATTGTAAATTTGTAACCCTATAACTCAATGACACAATAATTACCTTATATGTGACTTGTGAAATGATCACACCATAATTCCGACGGGGATTTTTCAGCCACTAATAGCTTGAATTTTTAATGACTAATAACACTCATTAATGTTACATTGGCTTAGATGGTACCATCTTAATACCAACAAAGAAGTCTATTAGTACTAACAAATCTAATTGCATTTGTTGGCACTAATAAGGAAAAATTTTGGTATCTAAATAATACTCCCTCCGTTTTTAAATATTTGCTCCATTTCACTTGGGCACTTACATCAATGCTAATCTTTGATCAATAATATCCTTAATTACCAATAAGTATAAATTCTAATAATTGAAAATTAATAATCTATTCACTGAGACGATTCAAACTAGTTCTCACAAGACTATATTTTTTCTTATGTATAAATCACAAACATTAGTCAAAGTAGGACAAATGAATAGTACAAAATGTAGAAATGGAGCAAGTATATAAACACTGAGGGAGTATCATTTAAGCACAATTTACTAGGGTTATTGAATGAAGACTCCTAGCATCAGTCTTATCCTAGCACAATATTCGTCCTGCACTAACATGAACGACAAAAACTTCTCTAAAGAACAACCTGCACTAACATATACTTTAAGCATACCTGAAGCTTGTTTCAGAATAGTCCTAACCAAGCTTACTCACTATCACTGCTGATCTCAATTTTTGGGGCACGCGCCTTAGAAGCATCTTTCTCCTGCTGCCCGAGCATCTTTGTGATGATGGGCTTACAAATGCTCTCGAGCTCTTTCATCTTATCCTCGAATCTACAACAATCTGTGAGGAGATGATTCCAATCCAGCCATTGGTTTGTTTGCTCAATGGCATCCCCCATATTTCTTCTGTCTTTCTGTCCAATCTTATTACCATGATTTCTCAGCATGATTGTCATGTCTTGAGCATAGGTTTCCAAAGCATTGACAGCTTTGGCCTTTTGTCTGTACTGCTCATCCGCGACCTTGTACTTCTCAGCATCCCTCAGCATCCTCTCAATATCTTCCTTTGGTAGCCTCCCACTATGATCTGTAATTGTGATTTCATTCCTGTTGCCAGTGGTTAACTCTTGGGCGGAGCATTTTAAGATACCATTAGCATCAATTTCAAAGCAGCACTTCGCTTTAACAACACCTTTGGGTGCTAAAGGAAATCCGTTGAGCACAAATTTACCCAGTAAGTTATTGTCCATAGCTCTAGGTCTTTCTCCTTCATAGACATGGAATGACATACCAGTTTGTAAGTCTATAACAGTTTCACAAATCACCTCCCTCCTTGATGGGGTAGGAGAATTCTTTGGTATCATGACAAAATAATAACCAATATGATTCTCATAACCAATAGATAATGGAGTGACATCGACTAATAGGAAGTCCTTGTTAACCAGACCACTCAAGACTGCAGCATGGATGGAAGCCCCACAGGCAACAGCCTCATCAAGATTAATGTTTTTACAGAGCTCTTTATTACCGAAAAAGTCTTTCAAGAGCTGCTGAACCTTGGGGATTCTGCTCGACCCACCGATCAGCACTATGTCATGAACATCACCCTTTTCCACTTTAATATCCTTTAAGCATTTTTCAACAAGGTTTATACACTCTTCAAACGAATCCATATTCAGCTTCTCAAAACGAGCACGAGTAATGGACGAAGAAAAATCAGTAGCATCAAAAAGACAATCAATATCAATAGTAGTCAAAGAAGACGAGGAAAGGATTCTCTTTGCCCTCTCACAAGCAACCGTCAGTCTTCCAATGGCCCTAGCATTTCCGCTAATGTCCTTCCCGTGCTTCCTCTTAATCTCAGTCACAAAGTGCTCAACCATTCTGTTGTCAAAATCTCCTCCTCCTAGATGTGTATCTCCACTTACTCCTTTTACTTCAAACACATTTTGTTCAATAGAAACCAAAGAGACGTCAAAAGTACCCCCACCAAGATCAAAAACCAACACATTCTTCTTAGTGTCATTGTGATCAAGGCCATAAGCAATTGCAGCAGCCGTAGGCTCATTGATAATGCGCATGACATTCAGTCCAGCAACTACTCCAGCATCTTTAGTTGCCTGACGCTGTAAGTTATTGAAATAAGCAGGAACTGTAACAACAGCATCCTTCACAGTTGAGCCAAGATAGGCCTCTGCAGTTTCTTTCATCTTGGATAAGATCATGGCAGATATCTCTTCAGCCGCAAATTTCTTCTCTTCACCCTTGTACCTTACCACAATCATAGGCTTCTTGTCATCATCAGGACTAGCAGCAATTGAAAGGCCACGACTTCATGTCTTTCTGTAAAGCGGCATCATTGAATTTCCGGCCTATCAGCCTCTTAGCATCTGTTATCATTATCAATAATTAAGAAGTTACTTGTGTAAAGCATATCAAAAGGCTTGGCAATAAACACATCTATACAATCAGAAAATCCAAGGGGACACTATTCAGCTGTAAAAAGCTTCTTATTGTATTGTAAATCATCCACTTAAAAAAAACATAAAAATTAATCTATTGTCAACCATCAGCCACAATACTTAACATGAACTTGTTACTTTCTTAATCTGCATAGGCTGCATTGTATGAAACTCGGGCCAAATAATCCGGATAATCCACCCCTGTGGCCTTATATCTTCCTTGCTTGCTAGGTAGATTAGATTATGACTTGAACTATGATCTCCATTATGCCAAAATACTGCTTGAAAATTTTCCTGATCATTTTCATGGTCTAGTTAATTATATAGTCTCACACCTCCAAGTCATGAGTGGAATATTTTTTTTGAAATTGAGTAGCATAAACATAAATATCCTTCATTTTAAGGTTTAATGATTCAGTCATTCCTAAAATGTCTTCGTTAGGAATTCTTAGCTGAAGATAGGAAATTTCAAATTTATATTCCCCCGTTTTGATTTATTTATTTTTTATTTTTACCTGCAACATTTCACTAAGGTACCCTATTCAATAATCTAAGTTCAATTATAATTTGTGAGTTATACTTAAACTAAACATAATGGATCTTATTCAATACGTCTCAATTATTGGAATATTTAATTTAAATTGTTAGTGGTTAGTTAACTCGTAAGTAATTAGTTTGTGTTAGTGGAGTCATAAATGTAGTGGATTTAGTGGGATATATTCCTTATTTTTAGCTTAGTTTTGCACTAATATGGGATCAGGGGTTAATGTTAGGCATGATATATTCCTTATTTAATTTAAATTTCATAATATAATATATTTATCAATTTAGATATCTGACTATATCTTTATATAAATTTC